CAGTGATTAAGGGTGTACGCATCAAGCTCATAGAAAAATTAGCAGTTCATTTCTAGCAAGTTGATGCTCATTTAAGTGAATGGTTTTGTGGGCATGAATTTTCGAAACAGTAATTGGACTTTGTGCCGGACCCATGAGCCCCATATTGTAATCCGGCAGTTCCTTTTTACATCTCATTAGACATCATTTTATAATGGATTTGGGTATAGGCTACGTTAGATTCGGCGGTTCCAAACAACTCGGCTCTAAAAGAGGATGGAGTTATGAGCGAATAGATGAATCCAATGTTTAGTATACAAATTAATCCTATATAATACGTCTATTTCCTCCTTTTACGATCGTGAAGGACACGATAATCACGCGTTTGTTACCCTCTTTGGTGGTGACATCCGTTACGGTTCATAGCTTCAACTCTCTTTCGACCACATCAGCCGACGAGGGCGAAGTGACAATGGAGGGCGTACGTATCGAAGTATTCCGTGGTCTTGGGCTTTATGCTAACGTCGTCTCTCATTTCGTTGGCATTTTCCAACTGCCAGCCATCAGAGGACTACCAAGAGTTCATAGCTCGCCAAGTACATGCCACCTTGTCACTCTTTGACCTCTCGCCATCCAAATTTCCGTTCGATGAGAGACGCATCACGAAGATTCGAGAGCGCCGCAAGCAGCTCAATGGAACGCTATTCATCGACTACATGCTCGGCCAGGCGGGCATTGTTGAGCCTACCAAAGTATTCCCGCCGACCAATCCGGAAGAACTAAAATTCTTAATTACGTCTGTTTTCAACGGTGAATGGGGGCTCGCGCGATCGGGTACGTGTAGAGTTCCCGTCAGAAATTTAAACATGGTGTATTGCATGCGCTAACTCGCAACCATTTTAGCAAACGTGAACGAATGGAGTCAAGATACAGCCACTTCAACGCGGGGGAAAGATCTGACTGCGGGAATTAAGAGGGCTTGTGTGATCTACTACCTCCTCGCGTGGTGGGAGGGTATGCCAAACCTCAGATATAGCGACCAACAAAGAATCTCGAGTCAATTTGTAGAGCTCACGCATGCTTATTTCCTCATGGATACTGGGAACACCGCTGTATGCTCCTTTTCCTTCCATCGCAATCTCGTGTCTAACCACAAATCTCTGCGCCAACGGGTCTCATAACTTGCACTTGAATAGGAAGCGACATCTCTGCTATGCACACCTCTAATTTCTCCAGAACCGATCCTTTCCGAAAAAATCTTTCAAACGCTAGCCCTTGCGACAGACGTAGACCCAAATGTGCTCATTTTACGTTATGCTCGTATGGCGAAACCGCCTCTCGCCAGCGAAACTGTAACAACACTTTTCGTCTCTGCTCTCGCAAAAGTCAACTTTGTAGAGGCATGGAACCACCAGAGGACCTATGAAGAAGAGTTAAGAAAGGACTTGTTGAAGGTGATATTTTCCGCCATTCTTTCTCGTGAGTATTATATTCGAAGCTGCCCCATTAGGATTTCTTGCTGACTTCTATCCTGAAGCCCGATTACACAAAAAGGCCTTGCACCTCCTATCCTCTGTGCCTTTCCAACCTCTAGAACGAGACTTTCTGCACGACTATGCCCTAAATCCTATGCCACTTGGCCCCAAGACACCCCTCGAGATGCACGAGTCATCCCTGGCGGCCCTTCAATCCCTC